TTTTAATGGTGGGGATTTGCCCGGGGGGTTGGCTTTTTTTTCCGGGCCGGGGGCCCCCTTCGGGGGGGGAAGGAACCAGGGGGGGTTTTCAAACTTGAGGGGGCTTTTGAGGGCCCGGGGGCTTTGTGGCCAACCACCCTTGGCCAGATCCCGGGGTAGGTAGCCCCCCCCCCCCCCTAAACTTGGCCCCCCCGGATTTTAAACGCCCCCCCCCCCCCCCCCCGTTCTCCCGAATTTACGATGTGCGTCTCCCCCAACCCGCGCAGTGGTGGCCGGGAGGGCTGGGCAAGACTTCGACGCACTGCGTGCTGATGGCGCAGCTCGTGTTGGACGGGAAGGTGCTCGGGGTGCATCCTTTCTTCGTACAGCTCCGCAGCATGACGGACCACAGCCCTCTCAAGGGCGTGGCGATCGGAGACATCGGGCCCAAGCTCGGCTTCAACAGCACCGACAACGGCTTCTGCAGGTGTTGTGGTGTGTGGGTGTTGTAGTAGTCGTGACGGCGAAGGGGAAGGTTTTGCGGGGTGCGGTCAGAGCGTGGGATACACGCCACGCGATTTTGTGATTGCCTCACTGCTGTGTTGTTCTCTTATCTTATCGTCACCTCCATGAGTTGCTCTGGTGATCGGTGTGTTGGTTTGTTTTTTTGAGGCCTGCTGTTGCTGCTTGCTGCCTGCCACGCTGGTGGGCGGGGGGCGAGGGGGGGTCTTGAGAGATTTTGGTGTGTATGCCCTCGGTAGCGGGGCCCAGCTCGCCCGGTCTTTGGGCCTTCAGTCGCGTCTCTGCAGAACACGCGTAAGTCGTAATCTCGTTTGTCCATGGTCTTGTGTCACGTCCTCTGCAACACGAGCCTAAATCGCCATCCTGTTGTTCATGTGAACCACCACCCATAACGCTATTTTCTGAAGTTATCCCCCCCCCCCCCCGCCCCTATAAAAAGTGCAAAAAATTTTTATGGAGTTTGTGGCAAAAACGTAAAGAGCTCCCAAATGTTGGTGGTGTCTCTAGTAGGTGTAGGAACGGTGCTCCGTCTCGAAAGGGACGCGTGGTCAATGGTCAAATGACTACCGCAAGCAACAAATGAGTACGCCCCCCCCCCCCCCCTTTTCCTCCCCCGGGGTTTGCCCTCCGGGTTTGGGTTTTCCTCCCTTGGCAACCACCTTGTAAAAAAAGCCCCCCCCCCCCGGGTTTGCCCTCCGGGTTGGGTTTTCCTCCCCTGGGAACCATATTGTAAAAAAAACCCATTTACTTCCTGAGCTCCGCAACCAGGGTACCGTTTTGTTTTTGCCCCCTTTTTTGTTTTTTTGCGGTAACCCTGAATGGGGGTCCAATAAAACATGTTGTG